TCTTGGCTTGCAGAGAGACTTCAGGCTTGATCGGTTCTACAACCCATTTGTTTGTCTTCTTGGCTATCCATGGTATTTTCAGTACTTTTCTTCAGCACATTTCAAAATTAATTGATATTCTTCCTATCAGCATTTTTTTACTGTCCAGTCCTTGCGTTCATACATGATGATGGGGAACACAATGGCTTGGATTATCCTTACTTTACTGTTCAGAATAATGTCTTTACAGTTTATGAACTTGTCCAGTTCTTCCAAGCTGCCCTAGAAGTTTCACAAATACAGCCAAACTATTCATTTCATTTGTTTGCATCAAGTTAATAGTAACAATGATTTCTGATATGATTGTAAGAGCCAGTAGTGGTTTGAGAGGTGGACTAGGACTCTGGAATAATAGGGTTTAAACCCTCTCTTAGGCTAAGAGAGTGTGACTTGCCCAAGATCACTCCAGGTCACACTCTCTTAGCCTCAGAGGAAGGCAGTAGGAATCAATTAAATAAATCTTGGCAAGAAAATCCTATGAGGTCATCACAAGTCAGAATCGACTTGAAGGACACAACATTAACAACATCTAATTACATTTCTACCTATCTTGTCAAGTCACTATATCAACAATGGAAATTATAAGCCCTCCTTTTACTTTACATTTGCACTTTCAGTACAGGGAGAGGGAGCATGGGTATGTCAGCTGGTCCTGTCCCAGCCTCCCCACATTCAGGTTCTGTATGCATAATATACAGAGCCTGATAAAAGGTTATGCTTTTGGATCCCAACTTCTAGCAAGTTGTGGACCAAAGTGGTAATTTTTCCATGGGATGATCCAAAGCAGTAATTGTGGCCTGCAGAAGTAATTTTCCTATGGTGTGACAGAATGTATATTGTATCTGAAAACAACTTCCCCCCTCCATTCCCCTTCTACTATTACTATTATTGATATAAATGATACATTCCATACTATCGTAAGGCTTAAATTGCTTCACTACATCTAAAGCAGCGATTCCCAAACTTTAGTCCTCCAGGTGTTTTGGACTTCAACTCCCCGGAGCCCCAGCCAACTTGGCCAACAGTCAGGAATTTTTTGAGCTTAAGTCCCCAAAAATATGAAGGAGCAAAGTTTGGAAACCACTGGTCTAAAGCATTAATGTAGTCTTCCCCACATTTTGTTCCATATTTGTATCCACATGGCACAAACAATGCGTACATGGCTCAAGGACACAATTTACTTTCACATGTGTAAGCAACCTTAAAGATGACTTCGTAGTTGGTGCTATGCTTTTACATTGATAAAATACATTTTTAACTCCTAAAAACACATCCTGAATTATAGTCTGACAACACAACTCTTTCAGGCTCATATACTACTGAAGGACATCAGGAACCTTGATTTTGTGAGTAGAGACCCTACATACACACAGTTTATGTGCATATAGCACATCTCCTTTTTAAGCTAACGGATAGAGATTTAGGGCATGGCCATACAGTGGTACCTCTACTTACGAATGCTTCTACTAATGAAAAATTC